TCAGGTATCATTTGGGCCAGGCAGGTACCATCAGTGATAAATGGCAACTGATGCTTGACTCTGGCAATAGGAGAGAACCTGCAGTATATTTCTGTACAAGAGAGTACATAGAGTGTATTTTCAGACTATTCAGAATTATAGATGGGTGAAAAAACTAGTATAAATCAAGCTCTAATTGATTTATTGTCTTGCACAACCTCGGAGTGAACACTCCTAGCTTTGGAGGCCATTATGCTGTGTTTCACCATTAGTTTAAAAATTGTAGCCACATCCTTGGAAAGTTTGTTTTGTATTTATGGTAAACTTAGTAACTCCCCCAATCTTTAAAGATAAATGGCTATTTAACATCTTTATTTTGTGTGTGTGTGTGTGTGTGTGTGTGTGTGTGTGTGTGTGTGTGTGTGTATTACAGGAACCAATTTTGGGGTTCTTTCTGTTCTGTTTTGAGTTCCACTTTCTTAGAAGCACATACTCCCATCCCACTGACATCTATTCCTCTCCAGAAGTTTTCTTTCCTCCCTAGAGTAACATCATTTATATTCCCACTTGAGCATTTTGGTATCCTGTTTTAGGGTCCTAAAAGTTAAGCTTTTAACAAAATGAATGAGCTGTGATTTGTTTCATGACAGGTCTCTCCACTCAGGTTGAAGGCCTCTAGCTTTCTTGATCTCATTTGATCTTCACCATTTTAGCACTGTCAATAAATCACATAGTGGTCACACTTCCCTTGTGTCCTTTATTCGTCATGTCAGGATCATGAAAATTCTGCTGCTCATTAACTTTGTCAATTTAAATAGGACCCCTTGCAAAGCACATTGAAATGTCAGAAGTTCAGGTATCATTTGGGCCAGGCAGGTACCATCAGTGATAAATGGCAACTGATGCTTGACTCTGGCAATAGGAGAGAACCTGCAGTATATTTCTGTACAAGAGAGTACATAGAGTGTATTTTCAGACTATTCAGAATTATAGATGGGTGAAAAAACTAGTATAAATCAAGCTCTAATTGATTTATTGTCTTGCACAACCTCGGAGTGAACACTCCTAGCTTTGGAGGCCATTATGCTGTGTTTCACCATTAGTTTAAAAATTGTAGCCACATCCTTGGAAAGTTTGTTTTGTATTTATGGTAAACTTAGTAACTCCCCCAATCTTTAAAGATAAATGGCTATTTAACATCTTTATTTTGTGTGTGTGTGTGTGTGTGTGTGTGTGTGTGTGTGTGTGTGTGTGTGTATTACAGGAACCAATTTTGGGGTTCTTTCTGTTCGGTTTTGAGTTCCACTTTCTTAGAAGCACATACTCCCATCCCACTGACATCTATTCCTCTCCAGAAGTTTTCTTTCCTCCCTAGAGTAACATCATTTATATTCCCACTTGAGCATTTTGGTATCCTGTTTTAGGGTCCTAAAAGTTAAGCTTTTAACAAAATGAATGAGCTGTGATTTGTTTCATGACAGGTCTCTCCACTCAGGTTGAAGGCCTCTAGCTTTCTTGATCTCATTTGATCTTCACCATTTTAGCACTGTCAATAAATCACATAGTGGTCACACTTCCCTTGTGTCCTTTATTCGTCATGTCAGGATCATGAAAATTCTGCTGCTCATTAACTTTGTCAATTTAAATAGGACCCCTTGCAAAGCACATTGAAAAAGCATCAAAAAGCATAACATGCACTGTGTGTGAAAGCATCAATCATCTTCTGTGGCACCCACTGCTGTCATTATAGCACTCTCTGCTCTCTAAGAACACAGAATACCGAAGGGGTGGACAACTGAAAGAGACAAATGAAATGGTTGATTTGTTTGGTTGCTAAATGCAGCTGGGACAGGTAATTAAACAGTCCTGCTCCTGCAGAGAAGCCTGCAGCACTGTAACATGACGTCTCAGAAACCCAGCTGTACTCAGATTTAGATTCAGAACTAATATTAGGTAGGCCTCTTTCAGATTGACAGGTTTCGTAAACATCATTTCTGGTTTATTTGTTCAGCATGATTGAAGATGGAGCATGTGCGTTTTATTCTCTGTTTAAGTTTCTAGGGAGTGTGTGGTATGTATAAGTATCTGGGGGTCTAGCCTAGAAGGGCATAGTCCAGTGTCCGGCAAGGCAAGGATTCCATGAGTAAGCCTCTGCTGGTCCTCAGTGCTCCCGACGTATTCCTGACTTTAGCTGTGCCGTCGGGGTGGGGCCTGGCAGTCCACCATGTGAATATATAGGATTAGTAATTCTATTAGTAAAGAATTCCTAGTAAAGGGGGCTGGAAGGAGAGATTGGAATCAGTTCCCTCCTCAACCTTCGAGTTTTATTTATTTATTTATTTAATCCTTTAATTTTTTTATGGGAGTATATTATTAAGTAAGTAGCCAAGATCTGTGGGTACAGCAATGTCTTTGTTTTAATTTGGGCACTTCTATGCAGAAATTGTTACCATCATCTACTCAGCTGCTCAAAAATTTATCAGTTATCATTTTTACTCACCTTCTGCAGGCAGTGGCCCATCAGGTTCTTCCTGGGGCTGACTCATTCTTACTCTTCAAGCCTCACCATAGATGTCCCCATCTCTGAGAAACCTACTCTGACCAACTTGCCCAAATGCCACCAGTTGTGTCTGATGTCTTAACCTAGATTAGTTCCTTCATAGAACTTACCACAATTAGTTGAATTATTTACTTGTTTGCTTATATCTGCTTGCTCTCGTGCTTGTTTATTGTCTCTCTTCCAACACTAGATGTTAGTACCATGGGGGTAGAGACTGTTTCATTCACCCTATAATTCCAGTTCATAACTCAAGTCCTTGCACATAGTTTACACCCTATTACATGCTGGATTTCATGTTCAAACTGGATTGTAGGTCCATAGTATGCTGGTAAATTTCTAGCTCTCAAAAAAAAAACAGCCCCAATTTGTAGTGTGTACTGATATCTGTAGTGTAAATAGTCCCACCATGGCAAATTTCATGCTACCAAAAGGACATCACTGAACAGTGAGTTGATAATTGATTGACATTGGCACTTCATTGGTGCAGGTTTCTGTGGTGTATCCTATTTAATTACCCAGCCCTGCTGCATTTAGCAGCTAAACAGATCAACCATTTCATTTGTTTTTTTCAGTTGTTTACATTTTAGTATTCTCTAAGTTCTTAGGTTGAGTCTTTCCACCAACATGTGTAACAGATAGAAGCCACTTCAAGAATATAGATAAAATGTAAAAATAATTAGGAGGTAACAGATTTTGAGTACTTATTATATTTATTTTTAATCAGATTTTAATTGTAACCATATACAATTTAATTTTTAATAAAGGTTATATTTAAAAACTGGCTTTCAAAATTCCTGAAAATTGTACAACCTGCTCTAATAAGCAGGCTTCAGCACACCACTGGAGATGACCTTTGGGTGGACCCAGTGACCACTCTCTGCCCTAGTGTTTGCCTCATAGATAATGGGAGGAAGAGAGTTGACAGGAATGGATGGGTAAACTCTTATTACAGAAACATTTGACTGAGAGTTCTTATTCACCTTTTACTACTAAAGAAAATAACACTCATATCTCCTTCTGCTTGATATATATGATTTGGTACAATGACTAGATGAGAAAGTGAGCTGGCAACAGTGGGAAATAAAGAAATCACAGAGTAAGGACAAGACTAAACAAAATATTAACCTTCCATTTAGAGTGCTGGGATATCTTATTGCCAGAAATGGTTGTAGATCCTACAGTGCTTCACGATCAAGAGCACTTAATTTTCAGAAAATTAGCCCAGGTCTAGAAGTCTCTTATGCCTATTTTAAGTCTTGAGGTCTTAGTTAGCAAGACTGCTTGCCACTTCACATTTGTCTCTGTGTCTGTAGTGGGATGGAAATAAGCCCCAGATGCAGCAAGGCCTTGGGGACTCTGGGGACCCAGAGCAGATGACTAAGTGGAGGTGACAAGCTCAGAGATAGGGATCACGGAGAACAGGAGGGAAGGAGCCGTGCTGTGCATCCATTGCCACCTTGTGTAGGGATTTCTCCTTACCAGGCATAGTTAGAGGCAGGCCTGGCAAGTTTAGATAAATAGACTATTGACATAAGAGATGCAAGTCATAATTAGCACCATTTACCATATTTGAATTTATACAGCCACAACAAGAAATCATTAGCTCCACCTTTAAAAGTCAAGGGAATGGAGTTTAGGGAATGCCTTTGACCTTTACAACCCACAACACTAAGACACTCATATCTTTTCTTTGACATTGACTGGAGTTTCTTAACCCTTGACTCATATCTGAGCCCATATGTATTGTTTTAAGCCAATGGCTTCCATCCTAGAGTGGAATAATGATTGCCATCCTTATTACACACCTATGTCTCCCTCAAAATCGAAAATTGTTTGCACTTGAGTTGGTTAGATGGAAAAGGACTTCTTGAGGGAGGTACCATCTTTCAAGGATTAGTTCAAATAACATTCAGTGAGCCCATGTTTAGTGCCTGGTACTATTCAGAGTCTGAGATTATAGAGAGAAAGGATAAAGACTGCACTCAAGCAAGGGGAACAACCAAGACAATAGGAATTTTAAACACAGTACGTTGTGAGCTGTGATAGGGTCCCCAGAAAGAGGTGCATTAACTCAGATACCAGGAAGGGCTTCATGGAAATAAGATCATACAGGGGAGCTAGAATGTTCTGGAGGGTGGGAAGCTCTGCAGAAAAGTAAAACACAGAATACGTAACTATAGAAAGTTTGGAGTGCCTGTTACGTAGAATTGAAAGCAGGATTTAGTAAGTGAATTTCTTCATTCCTAGGGATTCTGACAGGAAAAGTAGAGTGAGAACAAGAAGACAAATGACTTTGTATTTCCATGGCTTGTTTTCCTGTTCTTGTCCTCTTTTGGGATCTGATTCAAGAGGTTTGGTGATCTGATTCAAGAAGTGGTGATTTTGTGTCAAAATAATATTTGATGGAGGATTGATGGATATGACCTTGTCCTGTTTGATGTTATTCTGTGTTTTGCTACAGCTGCTGCCCATTCACACTCTGAGGCTTGGCATGGAAGTGGATTCCTTTAATGGGCACCATTATATCTCTTCAATTGCTCCAGGTGGTCCTGTTGATACACTGAACCTCCTACAGCCAGAGGATGAGATTCTTGAGGTACAATTTATGAGGGGAAAAAAGACATAGCAAGAATTTCTAAGTTCTAGGGAAATGTGTTCTCACCAGAAATCTACTGAATCACATTATCACCAATGCCAGTGTACTGTGAGCCACTTAGACTGAAAAATATTTGGTGACTGTAGCTGCAATGCTGTGTTGTATACTTGAAAGCTGCTGAAAGAGTCGATCTTAAGTGTTCTCACCACACACACATATGCAGTGCTAACTATGTGAAGTGATAGGTGTGTTAACTAACCCCACTGTGATAATCATTTCACAATATATATGTATATCAAACCATCACATTGCACACCTTAAACTTAACACAGGGTTATATGTCAATTATGTTTCATTAAAACTGGAAGAAATAAAGACAAAAAAAAATAACTAACAGCTAATGTAATGGCAAAGGAAGTAGATAATATGCTTTCAGTTCATTTTCCCCATCTTTTGGGAATCCTGGGATGTCTTTTAAATGCTTATTTAAATGATTGACTAAGAAAGAGACTAATGTCCTAGTTTAGTTTGATCACATAATTCTTTTTTTTTTTTTTTAAGCAAAATTCTTTTTAAGAATCTAATAATCCCTGACCCTGGTTTGTAACACATAGTCACATTTATTTGCAGGCTTTGTTGATTATTTCTAATAAGGAAATAATTTTGTTACTATTTCTAATATGTTTGTGAGCTGGACAACCTCAGGCTTATATACTGCTGACAGGTTTTCAGATCGTCTCCAAGGGTCTCCTCTCCTACACATAACAGTCTCTAGAGAGCTCACTCAGGCTCCCTGGGCTCTTTCAACCAGAGCAATTCTAGAGTACTTCTGCTTTGACATGCCTCTCTTGAGAGACTTTTTTAGATTGGAAAGTTCTGTAGCTAACACACCAAACAAACCAAACAATATTGAAACACTGAATTTTATAGATAAGATAATTAGGCATTAACTACTTATATTTTTCTTTTCTTTTCTTTTATTATTTTTTTTATTAAGGTATGATTGATATACACTCTTATGAAGGTTTCACATGAGAAAACAATGTGGTTACTACATTTACCCATATTATCAAGTCCCTACCCATACCCCAGGCAGTCACTGTCCATCAGTGCAGCAAGATGCCACAGATTCACTATGTGCCTTTTCTGTGCTACACTGTTCTCCCCATGATCCCCCACACCATTTGTAGTAAACATAATACCCCTCAATCCCCTTCACCTTCCCTTCCCACCTGCCCTCCCACATCCCTCCACTTTGGTAAACCACTAGTTCATTCTTGGAGTCTCTGAGTCTGCTGCCATTTTGTTCCTTCAGTTTTGCTTCATTGTTATACTCCACAAATGAGGGAAATCATTTGGCATTTGTCTTTCTCCACCTGACTTATTTCACTGAGCAAAATGTCCTCCAATTCCATCCATGTTGTTGCATATGGTAGGATTTGTTTCTTTCTTACGGCTGAATAGTATTCTATTGTGTATATGTACCACCTCTTCTTTTTCCATTCATCTACTGATGGACACTTAGGTTGCTTCCATATCTTGGCTACTGTAAAAAGTGCTGCAATAAACATAGGAGTGCATATGTCTTTTTGAATCTGAGAAGTTGTATTCTTTGGGTAAATTCCCGGGTCAAATGGTATTTCTATTTTTAGTATTTTGAGGAACCTCCATATTGCTTTCCACAATGGTTGAACTAGCTTACATTCCCACCAGCAGTGTAAGAGGGTTCCCCTTTCACCACATCCTTGCCACCATTTGTAGTTGTTTGTCTTTTGGATGGTAGCCATCCTTACTGGTGTGAGATGATATCTCATTGTGGTTTTAATTTGCATTTCTCTGATGACAAGCGATGTGGAGCATCTTTTCATGTGTCTGTCGGCCATCTGAATTTCCTCTTTCTGAATGTCTCTTCATATGCTCCGCCCATTTGTTAATTGGGTTATTTGCTTTTTGGGTGTTGAGGCGTATAAGTTCTTTATATATTTTGGATGTTAACCCCTTGTCAGATATGTAATTTACAAAAATATTCTCCCATACTGTAGGATGCATTTTTGTTCTGTTGATGGTGTCCTTTGCCATACAGAAACTTTTTAGTTTGATGTAGTCCCGTGAGTTCGTCTTTGCTTTTGTTTCCACTTGAGGATATGTGTTCAGGAATAAGTTGCTCATGCTAATATTCAGGAGATGTTTGCCTATGTTGTGTTCTAAGAGTTTTATGGTTTCATGACTTACATTCAAGTCTTTAATCCATTTCCAGTTTACTTTTGTGTATGGGGTTAAACAATAATCCAGTTTCATTCTTTTGCATGTAGCTGACCACTTTTGCCAACACCAGCTGTTGAAGAGGCTGTCATTTCCCCATTGTATGTCCATGGCTCCTTTATCATATATTAATTGACTATATGTGGTTGGGTTTATATCAGGGCTCTCTAGTCTGTTCCATTGGTCTATGGGTCTGTTCTTGTTCCAGTACCAAATCGTTTTGATTACTGTGGCTTTGTAGTAGCACTTGAAGTTGGGGAGCATAATCCCCCCAGTTTTATTCTTCTCAGGATTGCTTTGGCTATTTGAGGTCTTTTGTGGTTCCATATGAATTTTAGGATGATTTTCTCTAGTTTGTTGAGGAATGCTGTTGGTATTTTGATAGGAATTGCATTGAATCTATAGATTGCTTTAAGCAGAATGGCCATTTTGACAATATTAATTCTGCCTATCCATGAGCACAGGATGTGTTTCTATTTATTGGTATCTCCTTTAATTTCTCTCATGAGTGTCTTGTAGTTTTCAGAGTATAGGTCTTTCACTTCCTTGGTTAGGTTTATTCCTAGGTATTTTATTCTTTTTGATATAATTGTGAATAGAATTGTTTTCCTGATTTCTCTCTCTTCTAGTTCATTGTTAGTGTATAGGAATGCCACAGATTTCTGTGTATTAATTTTGTATCCTGCAACTTTGCTGAATTCAGATATTAGATCTAGTAGTTTTGGAGTGGATTCTTTAGGGTTTTTTATGTACAATATTATGTCTGCAAACAGGGACTGTTTAACTTCTTCCTTACCAATCTGGATGCCTTTTATTTCTTTGTTTTGTCTGATTGCCGTGGCTAGGACCTCCAGTACTATGTTGAATAGAAGTGGGGAAAGTAGGCATCCTTGTCTTGTTCCTGATCTTAAAGGAAAAGCATTCAGTTTCTCACTCTTAAGTATAATGTTGGCTGTGGGTTTGTCATATATGGCCTTTATTATGTTGAGGTACTTGCCCTCCAAACCCATTTTGTTGAGAGTTTTTATCATGAATGGATGTTGAATTTTGTCAAATGCTTTTTCAGCATCTATGGAGATGATCATGTGGTTTTTGTCCTTCTTTTTGTTTATGTGGTGGATGATGTTGATGGATTTTCCAGTGTTGTACCATCGTTGCATCTCTGGAACAAATCCTACTTGATCATGATGGATGATCTTTTTGATGTACTTTTGAATTCGGTCTGTTAATATTTTGTTGAGTATTTTTGCATCTATGTCATCAGGGATGGTGGTCTCTAGTTTTCTTTTTTTGTGGTGTCTTTGCCTGGTTTTGGTATTAGAGTGATGCTGCCCTCGCGACTGGAAATATTCCGTCTTCTTCTACTCTTTGGAAAACTTTAAGGAGGATGGGTATTAGGTCTTCACTAAATGTTTGATAAAATTCAGTGGTGAAGCCATCTGGTCCAGGAATTTTGTTCTTATGTAGTTTTTTTGACTACCTACTTTTATACACTGATAGAATAATGGTGTTCATGTTTTCTAATTTCCGTTTCACCTTTTTTTTTTTCAAATACACCACACTACTTCCTAAGCTAAAAAAGGATGTGGGGAATGGTCACATTTAGAGAAGGCTTTGCAGAAGAGAGGATCCACAAAGAGACCTAGATTGGGTTTAATAGTACCAACATAGTATACTTAGCCAATATTAGTATCTCATGGGCCTTGATTCTTTCTAAGAAATGACAAGGATAGCAAATAGGTTTCTTTTGGGTGCAACTGCAATTTTAGCAGTTGTCTGCCCACCTAGAGGATTAGCATATTGAGAATTCTGTGCCACATTTCAAGGTCAGAGGGAAAGGTGCCAAATCCAGCATAAGCATGGGAGGGCAATGTGTTGGAGTCCTGTTTTAAGATGTAGTAAATTATTTATTTTAGAGGTGTCAAGGAATGATATTGGGATGCTTATCACAGATTAAAGCCCTATGTTTTACTACATGATTTATGGTTTTGTTTTGTTTTTGATGCTGAGATCATGTTCTTCTCTTCTGATTGACAGGGCACATAGCAAAGCTTTTTTGGATATTGCACATGAGAATCTGTAGATTGGATGTCATTTCTATAAAATGTAGTTGCTAGGTATTGAGAAATGAGATATGTTTGTTTGGAGCTGTAGAAGTATAAGTAAAAACCCCTTTTTGTGGTAAAAATATATATACATAAGATTTACCATTTTAACCATTTTTAGTATACAGTTCAGGAGCATTAAGTGTAATTTGCAACTTTTATGTAGTCGTTGATAAAGAAGTATTGGCTGGATCTGAGTACAGCGAGTACAGATGATCCCAGTATCAACTGAGTCCTCTATGCCTTAACCAGGATTAGAATCCGATAGACCTTCTACCTTATAATAGAGTATGATATAATAAGATATGAAAATGTTTTGAATTCTTAAGTATAAATTTCTGGTGACAGAATGGGATAGAAAAAGAAGCATGGATTTAGTAGTCAGAAAGAGCTGCTTCTCTTTCTGAATTTACCACAACTTAACCATGTATCCCTAAGCATGTCATTTAACTTTTTTGAGCATCAGTTTCTTCATCCATAAATGCCTACTTCACCATCTGTTTGTGAGGGTCTAATGGAATATTGTCCATGCAACTATAAAGCATTATCTCACTGTGAGATATTGGCAGTATATCTCTGTGAAAAGGCATTAACGAAGTTTATGGGATGGGATTGAATGAGATAATATAGTGGGAAAATACTAGTACAGTATTATGTACTCTGCAAATATGTAATGTGTGTATGAATATTTGAGGTTTGACAAGTACTTAAGAGGGTCTAAAGTTGAAGGGCCTAGAGAAATACTGTGAACTCTAAAATAAAAATTGCCTCTGGATAGCCGAATATAGAAACAGAAAAAATGTCTGTAAAGTTAGCCAAATAAACTTCTGAGCTTAAAGTGTGTTTGTGTGTATGTGTTTAATGTACTCCTTAGAGCTTAAAACCAGAAACACAAATATGCTTTGGGGTTAGAACATTGTGCCAAGTCTCAGCCCAGAGCTGCTATTTACAGCAGCCATAAATCCCCTTAGAGAGGAGTTGGTAATGGGAAATGTGACCAATCCCTTTAGTGATAAAGAGTAGTGAGGAGGACTACCAGGCACTGCTATAATAATTGGAGACAATTCAAATGAATAAATAATGAGCTAGTAAATATTTAAATGTGCTCCAAGATAAAAACCTGAAAAGTGATTTTCTAATTTGTTGAAGTAATGTGAAACACAAATACTTGTATATGGGTTAAATTACTGCTTTGATTGTGTCCGCTTGCTTTATTTTCAGTGTAGGTTACTATGCATCTGGGTGACTTTAGAATGTTCTGTGCTTGTTGCACTGGTTGGCACCTTGGACCTGGTGGGACAATGATGTGTACTCCCCTGCCCATTTTTGTGTGAAGATTTACTTTTAGGTCTTCCAAGGAAAATCTTTCATCTGCTGCTGAATTCATCTGTCCCTTGGATTCCTTTCATCAGTCATGCATCTTGGGAGACATTGTTTACTTTTCTACTAGGGCTAGCTCCCTGAAGCACATATGGGTCTCTCTACTCTGCAGTGATTTCTTTGTAAATAATTAAGAGGCAGGGAGATTATGTCTGGCCCGGTGGCTAAGTGCTTGGTATGGTACGGGCCCAAGAGTGGTTCCAAGGGATGATTGACTTGGAGCTCAGACCGCTCCTGACAGGATGCTTCCAACAACCCCTGATGCTCTTATTCTCTGAGCAGTGACAGATTTTATCGAAAGGTTCCTCCCCGGAAAGTCAGCCTTGACAGTTACCTGGACATTAGCACTACCCCTGTCAGAAATTAATGCCAGACCAGAAATTTCTTTAAACCTAATAACGCTGCTGAACCCTCCCAGGAAGGTAGGAGTCAGATGTGAAAAGATTATTTGTTGCCTGGATTATGTTTATGCCTCAGCTTTTTGGGAGTAGCACACAGAAAACTTTTAGTGACTTTTAGTCCAAACTGAGAGAGCTCCTTGAGCTAAAGTCATATATATGAAAAATTAGTCTTATCTAAGTCATCTTTGGTGCAAAATATAGTTATCATGCACTAAAAATAATATGAAATTTAGATAATTTTTGGTGGTAAGTGTTAATCATCAATAAGGAATAGTTGGTTATCTTTTTGTTCTTTTAAATATGTGAGACACATGTGGTATAATTTGAAGACATTTCCTGTATTTGATGGCTGTGTCAGCAGAACATGTAAGATTAGAACTGATGTAAAGTTATATTTCTTTTCTTTAGAAGTGATTTTTTCTAAGATGGTATTAAAAGTTTATGGAATGTGAAAGAAAATTGTGAACTGATAACTAAATTTTGACAGCTCAGTATCTAAGATTTTGTTACCTATGCCTTATAAGTTGGGCAGTTTTAACAGCTTTAAAATTAGTGTTAATATTTATAGCAATCTTCTTATGAAATGCAAAGGCATAAAGAAATGGTCTCAGGAGGCTGTAAATGACATTTAGTGTGTTTTTGGAGAGAGAGGTAGAAGCAGATGAGAATACAACATTGGAAAAGCCATGGAGGTCTGAAAAATCAGGCAGATCACTTACCTAGTTGTCATGTGCACACATTTTACACTTTGTTTCCAAAATTCAACAAAGGTTTAGCTTTAATTTTTATAAATTTTAAGGACTTCTAATGTTTTTAGTTACTACTGAATAATATGGTTACCTATAGGGCCTTTGTTTACAGGGAAAATTAAATTATATTCTGTTTTCATTTTGATAGATTAATGCAAGCGAGAGATTTTTTCTTTTTTCACTGGGGCCCCAATTCTGACTTATCCCATGTCTTTCTAGGTCAATGGTGTGCAGCTCTATGGGAAATCTCGCCGGGAAGCAGTCTCCTTCCTTAAAGAAGTTCCACCCCCCTTCACCTTGGTTTGCTGTCGAAGGTTTTTTGATGATGAAGCCTCTGTAGATGAACCAAGGACAGCTGAAGCCTCTCTTCCTGAGATGGAGGTACTAGATGAGTATATTGTGGTTCTCATAGGAATTCCCATTCATCAAGGATGCCCCGAAGAGTATATTATGATATGATGGAGGGGAACAAATTTCCTTCCTTTTTTATTTGACTACAGTAGCTTTCAGGCAACAATGCATAGCTTTTCAAATTGTTACTTTTCATTTAACATCATAAAACTTCCCTTCTTTTTTTCTTCTTTGTTTTTACTTGAAATGTTGCTGGCATTAATGAGCATGCACTTTGATTTTTAGAGAACCTTTTTGTAGTGATTGCCTGGGCTCATTATTTTTGGCTCCCAGTTCAGTTCAGTTTACCCTAATAAGTTTAAGATATTGGTGAGTGTTGAATATCCAATGGACTTCCCTTTTTCAGATCCCTAAAAATATGATGTATGACCAATTTTGAAGTGAGTCTAAAAATTGCTGTAAAAGCCTTCAGAAGGTTAGAGAATAAAATTATACTTTCTGTTCTCTTGTAACTCTTTTTTAAAAAGGACATTGTAATTAGGAAAACAATTTTAAGCACATGTTTTGCCATCTTATGCTATTTGTAAGCCCATTTTTTATGATATCTTACCCCCTTTCCAGACTCATAGATTGTAATGCCATTAACACAAGTTATATACATGGGCCTTCCCTTTTACCTGCCTATATTCTGAATTTCAAGATACATGGACCCTAATTATGTCTCAGCCACTTAATGATTGTGAGTCTTTGAGCAAATAACTTGAATTTCTGTTCATATTCTTCCTCTGAAAATAGGGAAATGTATAGTTCTGAGCCACCTCATCAGTTTGCATAACAAGGAAATGAAGTGATATGTGTAAAGTTCTTAGTACAATGTCTTATACATGGAAAATGTTCAGTCAAGTCAACTGTAGCTCTCCTTGCCTCCTCCAGTTCACCCATCTGTGTTTTCTGATTTCCCAAGGTACATATGAGTCTGGCACTGTTTTATATCACATATATTTTAGTGTATATGAAGCTTTGTTTTTACAGGAGTATTGTCAGCTCCTGTGGGCAGATGTCATCCCTTAAAATTATTTTGTCTCTCATAGTGTTGTTATTCTGTACTGGATATATAAAAAGTGCTTAGGAAATTATTGTTTAGTGATTGAAAACCTTTTTTAACGTTTATCTTTGGTAAAATGTATTTCAAGGGAAGGACTTGAATGCTACACTTTTGTGATTCTTGCTATCTTTACTAAAATTAAATGTGGGTGATGGCTTACCTCTAAAGTTGATAAAATGCCTTTAATCTAATCTTATAGAGTGTGTAAATCACCAACCCAACTTGCTGACTCTATGCTCCCATCTGTCACACTTCACCACAATGGGTAAACAACAGCTTTAAATTATGGTAAATGCCAGCCTTGCTGCCCATTAGTTGATTGCTTTCCATTCTGTAAATACAGGAGTTATGCAGAATTGATTGTATTAAAGTGATATATTTCAGATTGGAGTATTATATCGTATATATCTTGGATGCATTGAAATTTCTATAAACTTGGGTTTTGTAATTATATGTGTTTTTTTTTTTTAATCCTGACTCTCTTTTCTTTTGTATTTTCATTTATCCCCATACCATCTTAGGTTCTTAAATCCTATCTGGTTAGGCAGCTCAACCAAAATTCTAGTGCTTATTAATCAGTGAGAGTACTAAATACCCCAGTAAAACATCAGTCATTGTATTAGCCATTGGTACTTTACTTTTTATTGGAGGGTATAAGTTTTCTTTTTATTTCCTTACATTAGGCTGATATATACTGAGGTTATTGATCTAGAATGTGCCCACTAATTTGAAGTTTTGTAATTCAAGAACCCAAAAATTGCTCCTATGTTTAGATTCAACCCACCATGCATTGAGTATTGACTTTTCATGCCCTGTGGAGACAGTTTGAGACCTGAATCAACTCTAATTTTTAATTTTACACACACACACACACACACACACACACACACACACACACACACACACACACACACACACACACATATTATCTATTAGCTATGGTGCCTTACTTTTCCATACTAAAGGGGTTCCTCCCCTGACTTTGATTCCATTAAATGGGTTTTCTTATCCAGGTCACTCAAAATTATGTCTGTAGGAATGATGCACTTGCATTTTATTTGCAAAGATCACCTTAAGTTTTAAGAAGTCTGCCTTTAAAAATTATTTAGTTTGTACCTTTATTAAAAAAGAGTTTCATGGAAAACCTACTCAAAGATGGATGATTCATTAATGTATTGAACAAATATTTATTGAGTGTCTACTATGAACTAGGCAGTATTGTGGGTTGAGCAAATAACTATGGTTAAATTCTGTGATAGCCAGCACTCTTTCCATTCTAGGCAGGATTTTGTTAGTTGCTGGAGCTAAGAAGAAAAAGGAAACAATTCTTGAGATTCAGATAGAAGTTCACAGTATTTGGGGGATGGTAAATCTTATGGAAACAACAATATAGTACTATAAATAGTATAAAAATGGAAGATTAAAGCAGCTATTCCCTTTCTGCATAGCTGAGTCATTGACCCCCTATCACTTAGCTTCCTAGAATTCCATATAGCAGTGGCTTCTCCCTGAGAGAAGGGGGAGCCTGGAATAGGGGCCTTGAGGGTGTGAAGTCAGGGATAATATGTAATCAGAGACCTTTGTACTGGATAGGTGTGCTGACACTCTCCCTCAAAATCAGATTCTTATGTCAACTCAGTGATTTTTTTTTTTTACCTGTTTTTAGACTTACTTGATTCCCACACACTTGGATTTTTTTTCCACCTTATTTTTCTACTGAAGTTTTTCTTGAGAATTTCCCAGGAACCAACAGAAGTGGTTTCCTTGTGTCCTGCCACGGCCTTTCTCTGTGTCGGCATCTTTCTCTCTGTCTCTTACTGTAATTATAAATTCAGATATTGGTACTTAAATATTGTATAAGCTTTGTCTTTGTATGATATTTTCATTCTTAAATTGCATATTTTTCCTTCTGTGCTTCTAATGGGATGACAGAACTCATTGAAGTATAAGAGGTCAGTGTTAATACTTTGAATGAAACAGGCACATTATATTAAAAAAAAACTATGAACAATCTGCGTTTTTAAGTGCTTGAATTCCTGTGAAGATCTTATACTGGAGTGTGTGTGCCCCAGTGCATGTCCCTTGTAAAAAGATTAAAGGAAAAACAGCATTTTTTTGCCAAAGAGAATTCAAAGTTTGAGGAATCTATGAGCTTCGTAATATTTTATTCTTCCCAAAATTGAAAGGATGGTGTTTTGAAGCATTTATCTTCTTTGGTATTTCAGGCTGACCACAATGTAGATGTCAGTACTGAAGAGGATGATGACGGGGAATTAGCATTATGGTCTCCTGAAGTCAAGATGGTTGAACTAGTGAAAGATCAGAAAGGCTTGGGATTCAGCATTTTGGATTACCAGGTATAAAAATGACATAGTGTTTTGGAGTAATTAGTTTTTGGAGTAATTAGTATTTAAGTTATGTGCAGTAGTAATTGTGTAAGGCACCCATTTACTAGCAAAACTGAATGGTTTGATATCTAATGCTACTGCCCAAAGATGGAGTGTTAGAATTTCCATTGTTACCTTTGCAATTGAGAGCTCCCTTAGTGATTAAAATGATGGATGATACAATAATTGGACAGTAAAGGAAGCAATAGTTTTATACCCATGAATTCTTTTAGAGCCTGGAACTTGATGAATTTTTTTTTAATGGAGGGTTTTTTCCTCAGCTTCATTGAGATATAGTTCACATATCATAAAATCCACTCATTTAAAGCATACGGCTCGGTTGTTTTAGTATATCCAGAGTTCTCCGACCATCATCACACTCTAATTTTAAAAAAATATCATCACCCCAAAAAGAAACCCCATTCACATTACCAGTCATTCCCAATTCTCACTCTCTTCTTTCTCTCCTTCAAATAAAAGGTTTTATTGTTTTGCTTACCTGTCAATCTCAGTTCACTTAATTAAGTAGAAATGTTCTTGGTCAATTTATATATTATGTTTATATTTAATATAGAACACATAATATTTATGTATTTATATATATTCCAACTATAACGAGGTAAAGTTACTGATTCACTTGCCAGAGGGGTGGGGGAGATGTGAAAGATTAAAATAGGACACGTATATATTATACCAATTTATAGTATTTTTAGACCTTCTTATTATCATAGGAAACCTAAAACTGTTGGTAAGAAATCTCTTCACTTTTAAGATGCATATTTTAATACTTTATTGCTGCCTAAACGCATTGTGGTTTAATAAAGCAAAATGTACTCTATCAAAGCTTATAAAATCCAAGTGATATAAAAATCAATTTTTTTTAAATACAATAAAGCAATCGGGAACAGATTAAAAAAATACTTTGAGCATTATATAAGGACATTAAATTCTATATTTTGGCAGTCTGATTTAAGATTACTGAAATAGCCAATTTTTGCTGATGCATTTCTGTGCCAGATAACCCTTTCCATTATTAGAACTTCTCTTTGAAATATTCCAAATAATACATATTTGGGAAATATTTTTATGAAGAAATATCAATACTGAAATATTATGGACATTTATATATTGGTTAATATTAGGACATATAAAACAAATAGCAGGCATTATCTATCATTTTTTCCAGCCTAGTGTAGCTCTATTACCTAGCACATGGTGGGTGATTAATAAATATATACAGAATGATTGAGTAATGTTTAGGTTGGCCAGAATTAGCTGGAACTAAATGAACATATTAAGTGGGCTTTTTTTGTTAACTAATTTGGTAACTGGGATTTAGTTTAGGAAACACCTTTCAGATGTAGTCTTAGATATTTAGCTGTATTTCCATTATCACTAGAAAGTATATTTATTTGTTTTGTTTTTTTTAACTAAAGTCCATACTTTATTCAGATTTCTGAGGTTTCCATTGATATCCTCTGTCTGTTCCAGGATCCCATCCAGAATGTCATTACATTTAGTTGTCATTATCTCCTTAAGCTCCTCTTGGTTCTGATAGCTTCTCAGAATTTCCTTGCTTCTGATGGCCTTGACAGTCTTGAGGAGTAACGGTCAGGTATTTTGTAGAATGTCCTTCAACCTGATGTGTTCTTATGATTACACTGGTGGTGTGGGCTTTGGAAGGACCACACAGATAAAGTGTGTTTCTTATCACACACTATCAAGTGTTTGTCACTGTAGAGGTGAACCTTGACTTCCTGGTTGAGGTAATGTGTCAGGTTTCTCCATTATACAATTACTGTTTTTCTCTTCTCACACACTGTTTGGAAGGAAGATACTGTAAGCAACCCACATTTAAGGAGTGGGGAGTTATGTTCCACCTCCTTGAGTGTGGAGTATCTACATAAATTATTTGGAATTCTTTTGCACAGGAGATTTGTCTGTTTTTTCCCATTTACTTATTTATTCACTTCAATATGGATTCATGTATATCTGCTTTATACTTTGAGCTATAAGTTGATACTACTTTGTTTATTTTGTTTCCCAAATTGTTCCAGGTTTGGCCATTGGGAACACTTTCTGTTAGCTCCTGTGTTGCAATGATATACTTCTGTCATTGTGAGTGTGTGTGTGTGTGTGTGTGTGTGTTTTTTGGTATCGTTAATACAGTTACTTGAACAACATTATCATCACTAGACTCTCCCTAATATCAAGTCCCCCCTCCCACATACCCCATTACAGTCAGTGCCCATCAGCATAGCAAGACACTGTAGAATCATTACCTGTCTTCTCTGCATATACTGCCTTTTCTATCCCCGCAACCCCCGGCGCTACATTATGTGTGCTAATCATAATGCCCCTTTATCCCCCTTATCCCAATTTAATATAGAACACATAATATTTATGTATTTATATATATTCCAACTATAACGAGGTAAAGTTACTGATTCACTTGCCAGAGGGGTGGGGGAGATGTGAAAGATTAAAATAGGACACGTATATATTATACCAATTTATAGTATTTTTAGACCTTCTTATTATCATAGGAAACCTAAAACTGTTGGTAAGAAATCTCTTCACTTTTAAGATGCATATTTTAATACTTTATTGCTGCCTAAACGCATTGTGGTTTAATAAAGCAAAATGTACTCTATCAAAGCTTATAAAATCCAAGTGATATAAAAATCAATTTTTTTTAAATACAATAAAGCAATCGGGAACAGATTAAAAAAATACTTTGAGCATTATATAAGGACATTAAATTCTATATTTTGGCAGTCTGATTTAAGATTACTGAAATAGCCAATTTTTGCTGATGCATTTCTGTGCCAGATAACCCTTTCCATTATTAGAACTTCTCTTTGAAATATTCCAAATAATACATATTTGGGAAATATTTTTATGAAGAAATATCAATACTGAAATATTATGGACATTTATATATTGGTTAATATTAGGACATATAAAACAAATAGCAGGCATTATCTATCATTTTTTCCAGCCTAGTGTAGCTCTATTACCTAGCACATGGTGGGTGATTAATAAATATATACAGAATGATTGAGTAATGTTTAGGTTGGCCAGAATTAGCTGGAACTAAATGAACATATTAAGTGGGCTTTTTTTGTTAACTAATTTGGTAACTGGGATTTAGTTTAGGAAACACCTTTCAGATGTAGTCTTAGATATTTAGCTGTATTTCCATTATCACTAGAAAGTATATTTATTTGTTTTGTTTTTTTTAACTAAAGTCCATACTTTATTCAGATTTCTGAGGTTTCCATTGATATCCTCTGTCTGTTCCAGGATCCCATCCAGAATGTCATTACATTTAGTTGTCATTATCTCCTTAAGCTCCTCTTGGTTCTGATAGCTTCTCAGAATTTCCTTGCTTCTGATGGCCTTGACAGTCTTGAGGAGTAACGGTCAGGTATTTTGTAGAATGTCCTTCAACCTGATGTGTTCTTATGATTACACTGGTGGTGTGGGCTTTGGAAGGACCACACAGATAAAGTGTGTTTCTTATCACACACTATCAAGTGTTTGTCACTGTAGAGGTGAACCTTGACTTCCTGGTTGAGGTAATGTGTCAGGTTTCTCCATTATACAATTACTGTTTTTCTCTTCTCACACACTGTTTGGAAGGAAGATACTGTAAGCAACCCACATTTAAGGAGTGGGGAGTTATGTTCCACCTCCTTGAGTGTGGAGTATCTACATAAATTATTTGGAATTCTTTTGCACAGGAGATTTGTCTGTTTTTTCCCATTTACTTATTTATTCACTTCAATATGGATTCATGTATATCTGCTTTATACTTTGAGCTATAAGTTGATACTACTTTGTTTATTTTGTTTCCCAAATTGTTCCAGGTTTGGCCATTGGGAACACTTTCTGTTAGCTCCTGTGTTGCAATGATATACTTCTGTCATTGTGAGTGTGTGTGTGTGTGTGTGTGTGTTTTTTGGTATCGTTAATACAGTTACTTGAACAACATTATCATCACTAGACTCTCCCTAATATCAAGTCCCCCCTCCCACATACCCCATTACAGTCAGTGCCCATCAGCATAGCAAGACACTGTAGAATCATTACCTGTCTTCTCTGCATATACTGCCTTTTCTATCCCCGCAACCCCCGGCGCTACATTATGTGTGCTAATCATAATGCCCCTTTATCCCCCTTATCCCTCCCTTCCCACCCATCCTCCCCAGTCCCTTTCCCTTTGGTAACTGTTAGTCCATTATTGGGTTCTGTGAGATTTATTTGCATTTTTATATAATAAGTATTTGTCATAATCATTGCTGTTACTCTCCTAAGGGTAAGAGGAAAATAAATAAATAAAACTGCAGGTTTATATTTTGCATATTACATATGTTAATGCAGAGAAGTGCTTCAGAAATTAAAACCAAAACAAACTTAAGTAAAAGACTGAAAGAAAAACTTGATAGTCCTTTAACAGTGTAATCCCTAGTTAACAGAAAATTTTCTTTATCAGTTCTGAGCTTTACACTTTTTTAAAGGAGTCAGTTCTAAATATGCAAATTTTTTTCCTTTACTGTGTTCTTATAGGTATGCATGTAACATACCTTTGGTTTTTTAACAATTTTATTTTTATTTATAAAATTCGAGGTGTTTCATTCCCTCCCTCATCCATTATAATAATCATTTTACATACTGATACTTATGCACAAGTTATATAAAGTACTTTTGCTACAATAGAAGTATTAGATATTCTTTTTGCCTTTGTGCTTCTTGGAAATATAGAAAACTATTTCATTTTCAAAATGCTACTTTGATTCATGTTATGGGGCTTAGCTTATTTACTTCTGTGGTTAAATCTAGGAAGAAAAAACATTTAATCTTAAATTGAATTTTTTGCCTAAGTCAATCTTAAGTACATTTACTTACAGTTTTATACAGCACATTTTGACCATTTGTCAGTTGTATGCAGAACTGTTGTTCACTAT